CAGTTAGTCTGCAGTTGCTCTTGGTAGATGTAACTTTTAACTTCTTGAGATTAGATTTTCTCCTGGTGTTTTAGTGAAATTCCTTCCATAACTACATAGCTGGTTCTGAATTTTCAAACTGTTAGTGAAAACACCTAAATTAATATTTTATTCCACACATAGGTTCTCAGTTTAGTTATAAGAATCAGTCATCTCTTATAGTTGCTGGTACGTTGATGAAAAAAATATATGAAAATTTTCAACTCATGGTAACTACTTAGTAATTGGCAACATAAGGTCCTTATACCTGGTAACTGCGGCTCTTTATTTAAAAATTTTTTTTAATTTTCAATTACAGTTGATATACAATATTATATTAGTTTTAGGTGTACAACCCAGTGATTACACATATAAATATATAACTTACAAAGTGATCACCCCGATAAATCTTGTATCCGACACCGTACATAGTTATAACAATATTATTGACTATATTCCCTGTGCTGTACCTTACATTCCCATGACTGTTCTGTAACAACCAATTTGTACTTCTTAATCCCCTCATCTTTTGCACCCATCCCACCAACCCTCCTCCCATCTGGCAACTGTCGAAATGTTCTCCATATCTCTGAGTCCGGTTCTTGATTGAAGTCTATGTATAGCCCTTCCCTTGAGATATCTAAAGCATGAGGAATTAAAGCATGCTATGGGAAATGCAAAACGCATCGATCATTTGAATAGATCTAGAGTAGATTTTCTTCATTCCTATTCCCTTGGTCCAAAATATTAAACTAAAATTACCTTTTTTTCCTTCGCCCATGTTTACAAGCTCATATGAAAGCGCCAGTGCTTTAAAATAGTTTTGATGGTAATATTTGGCTTATATTGTGTAAATATGCTTAATCTGTTTATAGTTATTGTCATTATTTTTAAAATTGTTCTGCTGTTATTTTTGTGTTACTCTTTTGTTTACTTTGCTTCTTTGAAAGCTCACATTTGTTTAGTTTGTGCTCAAATATTAGCCTCGTTCAGGGCCTAACAAATAGTGAATAATAGTTATGAAACCTTAGACAATTCACTTAACTGCCTAGTGTCAGTTTCATTATCTGTAAATGAATCTGTTGCAGATGGTCCCTCAGGAGAGCGATTCTGAAATTGAAGGCGAGGTGACAGGAGAAAGGTGACTTTCAGATTACACCCCCCTCATGGCATATAACAAGATGTTACTGATAAGCGTGTATTATGCATGGCTTCAAAGTAGAGAAAAAGAAAGGTCATAATTCTTTTTAATTCCTTACTGCTTTAAGAATTTGTGATTTCATGATCATAATTCCATGCTCTTCTACCTCAATAATACCAAATGAACTCATTTGTACAAAATTCAATCTACTCAGGTCCTGTCAGTTGCTAAAGAAAGGGGCAAAAGCTCCTCAATATGTTAAAATTGAGATAAGTCAATAATCAAGACTTCTATTTATTGCTAGAGGTGCTCTTCATATTTACTCAAAAAGTAATTTGTCTCCTGACTACCTCAGAGAAATACAAAGGGGAGTTTTGTTTTGTTTTAAAGATTTTATTTATTTATTTTTAGAGAGAGGAGGAGGGAGGGAGAAAGAGAGGAGAGAAACATCAATGTGTGGTTGCCTCTCATGTGCCTGTTACCAGGGACCTGGTCCGCAACCCAGGCGTGTGCCCTGGCTGGGAATCAAACCAGCAACCCTGTGGCTCACAGGTTGGCACTCAGTCCACTGAGCCACACCAGCCAGGGCCAATGGGGAGTTTTATTTTTAACCTTCTTTCTGATGACATACCTCTTGAACACTTAACTTAATAGACCCTGCTGTGTGTATACTGTGTGTGTGTTTATCTTTACATGTATCCTTCATTAGTTCACTAATAACAACAGTTCAGACTTTTGGAAGTAAACTTTTGGCTTGCTTTTTTTTATCCCACTTATTTTATTCTAATCAAAGGAAAATATTTTAAGCCATCCATTTTCTCCATTCCTGCCTGCTATTATCTTGACTATAATTGCCTAGTTTCCTTTCTGGCTGATCTATTGCTAGCCTTTATCTGAATGTTATTAAAGAATATAAATGCTCCGTAGAGCATCATAGTCTCAGCCAGAATATTTTCAGATTCTCAGCTAAAATGAAACAGAACTTGAGGTTTGGCTGTTAAGTAAGTAGTTCAGATTTGTTGTCAGAGTATGTAAGGACCTTTAAATTCATTATGTTAGTTGTAGCTGCAATGTAGCATTTGAAAAATAGCTTCAGCTGTGTATGGATTGTGGTCCTTGGGCACCAGATAGTGGATGTTGGAATGTATTGCAGAAGAGCTGATTAAAGTACTGGGATCTCTAACAGTACCAGTAGAAAGCCATTTGTACACCTCTGTCTGACTCTGTTGGATATACTCAAATTTTTCCTTTTGAAAGCTTTGTTTTATTATCAGCTTATCCAGGAGGGAATAACATTTTTGCAAAAATGTGCCTTTTGGAGAAAACATCAATAAGCTATACTTGATGAGATGTTTATGTAGGTAAACTGATTTGAACTTTGAAAATCCTAAATACATTGCAGTTTTATGACCTAGCTTATTGGAGACATGTTTCACTATGACTTAAATTTCAGTAGTAGCTATTTTCAGTTCCCAATTTTAACGTGTGTTTGTTTGTTTGTTTGTTTTTTACTGTACATTCAGGAATTTGCATTTACTCCAAAATATAAACTATGTCAGAATTCATTGTCCCATTCTACCCACATCCTCTTCACTTTGGGCCACTTTCCTTCCCAACAGAAGTTCGGTCAAGTAGAGTATGGAAATAGTTTACGTAATCTCAAGACTTACAGATTTTCAAATACATTTTGTACTCTCCTGTTTAATATTTCGGTATTTGCTCATTGTTTTCCAAATAATGTCAGATTTCTCAGAGGGCCATTCATGATCTCATTCTTCTCTGCCTTATTCTTAACCATGCCCCTCCAAGTGTCCTTAGTTTTAGGTTTCCCTTGTCATTTCTTTCACTTTGGTTGCTTCCTTCTGCCCCACCCTTCTTCACCTGGGGATCGCCTGTTTTTCCTTCAAAACTCTGCCCAAGTTTCCCCTCTTCCATCACAGGAAGCCTTCTTTGAACTGCAATCACCTGCCTTTTAGTAATCCCATTTAGACTAGCCTTTAAGCTTTTTATAGCATTTCAGAAGATTGTTTTTATACTCTACTGCAATCATTTGTTTACTCGTCTACCTCATTTCATAGACTAATATTCCTTGAGTTCAGAGATGATAGTGTATGTTTTGGGTTTGAATCTGGCATATAGGCCTTTCAAATAAATGTTCATTGACTGACAGAATAACTTTTATAGATGAGTCCATAATTTGGCTGACTTTGCTCTTAATAGTTAAGGTATTTGAGGATGTGGGTTATGCTGTTTTCCTCAAACAAGTTTTTTAAATTGGCTCACTAACTGCCATGTTGCCAACTAAAATGTTTGATAAAGATAGGTTTTTGGCTTTGGGAAGTCAGGAACTTTATTGGAAAGGGATGTAATAATATAAATCTTAAACTGTCAGTCAATTAAGGAATCTGGAATATAATATATGGGAAATTAGAAAGATCTCTTTATGATCACAAATCATGCATTCTAACTTACCTATGTATATTGTTGAACCTGTGACTTTCTTGGTGTACAGAACTTCCTTAGGGAAGAATAGATATTTAGAAACTTTTTCTTTATTTGAAAATAACTTGTTAGAGTGTTCAGATTTTAATGTAATTTTTGAGAAACAAGACAAATAGCTTATAGAACTTAAACATGTGTTGGTGGTCCTGAGGTGCCTTTATAGTATTTGCATCAATATTCTGCATTGTGTAACAAAACAGAAACAGAATGCAAAGAAGCCTATATCTACGAGTAAGATTTTTAAAAATAATTTAAGCTTATTTCTTGCTAAGCTAATTTCTTAATAGCATTAAAATATAATTATTTCTTTAATGATATAGCAAAACTGAGTTGGTGTATTCTAGCTGAATCATAGTCCTGGCTATTCTTTTATCTTTGAATGAACAAATACCTTGGTGTTAAAATTTCTTGTTCTTCAATTAAGCTTTCAAAAGAATCTAGTTTGTTAGATCTTGACTACCCTAAGTTTGTATTGAAGGTCTTAAATTATATACCTCTTTTCAGTCTGTGCTATATTAAAAAAATAGAATGAAGAAAAATGATTCACATCTCGATAGTTGGATATCTGCTCTGTCCCAGAAACCCTAGCCTTCTTTTTAAAAATATTTTTAAGATTTGTTGTTTGTTAAAATTTGGTATTGAATTTGTATAAAGTGTAAAGGCTATAGCACGTTAGAATATGATTGTCATTTAAGAATGTATTCACTGTTTTGGGTTTTGGAGCGCTGCCTCCGAGAGGTTCATAGCGTTTGGTACGTTGTTCACGTATTGCTAGTCTACAGACCTACCCTAATCGAGGCAAAGGCTTCAGGGTTCTGATTTTTTTTTTCCTGTCGCTATAAGCTCAGCAGTCGTGATTAATGTTTTTTTTTTTAACTCTCCATATCTTCACAAATAAAATTGAATTTTTTGAAGACAAGTAATTCATACCTTTAAAGAGCCACATTATTTTGCTTTTGTCTCAGACTGTATTATGCTTCACAAGTATACTGTGACAGGCTGAATAGAAACGGGGGGGGGGAGGGGACATTGTCTTCAGCTGGCATGCTGTTATCAGAGGGAATGTGTTTCTGGACACGAGATTTAGCATTCATTGGTTGTCTGAAGGAAGCTATTTCATCTGAGGATTGGACAAGAAGCTGCGTCAATTTGCTGCCCGTCTCCAAGGCACTGGTGATGCTGCCTTCACAAGCTGGCTAACGTCACGGCTCCATCACCCAGCGGGGTGTGGACTATCTTTTTCTGTTCTTCTCTATTTAATTCTCTATTTGCTGCCTACTGCATTTCTTAATCTGTCTTCTGCCAAATGCTAACAGCATGATATTTTGCAATCATCTAGGTGAATACAAGAAAGACGAACTCCTAGAAGCTGCTAGGTAAGTGATTCCATTCATTTTAAGTGAGTATAATGCATTTAAGGGAGAAAAGGGGGAGGGCAGGTGGAGGACTATACAAATTATAACATGTTATTGTCTTGCTTGGATTTTATGCAGTAATGCAGATAAGACCTTAAACTGAATTTTTGTGTACTTTATTTTACGTAATTAGTCTATGAAATGAGGTAGTCTTTCAGTATGGTGATGATTATAAGGTTAATTTTATTTGGAACAAATCTTAAGGTACCTGCAAACCGTAGTTGCCCAGCTTTTCCAATGATATTCTCGGAGTATTTAAATACCTACACCTTCATTTTACTTTAAAAATTTTTCTAGTTTTCAAAAGCTTGAAGGAGAGGCATAAAGTAAATGTTAAAATTCTCATCCATTTTCTTTTGTTCTTGCTCATTTATAATTTAATTGATTAGCTTTTTACAACATTTTGTATGAATTTTTAACTCCTGTGTTTTAGATCACTTATCGGAATAAAGTTTGTAATTAGGAAGGTGACTTTATGCAGATGAAGAAAACAAATAAAAATGTAGAAAGCCACGTTTTCTAAGCTGTACAACTATATGATGATTAACAGGAATTACTTAGGAATATATTAATTGAATTGAATATGGCAAAAGAGATTCATTCAGAACCATATAAAAGAAATCGAAGCAAACCCATATTATTTTCCACTTTCTTGTGAAAAATATCTATAAATATTCATAAGAAGCTCTATAATTTTAAAAGAATTGACTTATACCTTTTCGTAGGAGTGGTAATGAAGAAAAACTAATGGCTTTACTGACTCCTCTAAATGTGAATTGCCATGCAAGTGATGGACGAAAGGTAAGCTATTTAAAATAAAACAGTCCCCTTCAGTAATTTATTTTTGCTTTACAGTTAAAACATTCGAAGTTGGCATATATATGTACGCATATGTAGCTGTATTTTTACTGGCATCTTTTCACTGTAAAATGAAATGCTGCTGTATCTGTTATTGGCAGTTGTGACATATTCATAGAGCTGGTGAAGCATGGATCTTAAGCCTTTTCTCTCTAAATGTCAGACATTGAAAGTTGTTTGTTAAATGAAACTGCAGCTTTGTCAGTGATTAGAATTATAACAACGTATATTATTTTCTGTGTATGATGATGGAAATTGGAAATACCTGTTCATCTCCTGCTTACCCATCTTGGTTAGGATATATGCATTTTTGATTTCTTATTTGGCAGAGGAAGATTTGTTTACTAGATACCAACACTTTTTCCATTTAAAGCTGAGAAAACGTTGTTAGTGATTTTTTTTTAGATTTATGTGATAGCCCTACTTTTTTGTGTATTATTTTTTATTGGCTAAGTTTTTATCATGATATATTGAAAGAAAATATACCAAAGCAGAGAGAAATATTAATATGCAGTTGTCATAAATGTAAGGTAGTATATAAAATGTACAGCTGGCATCTTATTATCTGCTTCATATTCTTGCTGAATATAGACCGAAATACAATCCTTTATAGCCTTTGGTAATTGACTGAAAAGTTGAACAGTGATTTATTTACCTAATAGATATTGAAAAACAAAGTACTTTGTACTAGAACGTCTTTTTTAAAATGGCAGTTCATTTTTTAATGGTTAAAAGATTGCTTTTATATTTTAAAAATCTAAAGTATTTTAAAAGTTACGCTGCACATACTGAGGGAAGTCACCTTAATCATACTAATATTTAATGAATTTGTTTGCAATTATTTATATTGAAACTATGCTATGAAAAATATCAGGATGACCGGTGCCCCTTAGAAATAATAAACTATTTTGCCTTTAAAAATTGTTTTTCCAAGTTATAATTTTTTATATCAAAATTATTCAGTTTTCCTTTACTGCTTCACACTTTTTCCCGTTCTGATGAAACCCATGTAATTGTACCCCTCAGAATATATGCTATTTGTTACTGTAGATGGCTTGCACATTATTTCATGCAGCCTGATGAGTGTTTGGTTTCCCTGGATAATGTGGAGAGAATTCTATTTTATGTAAGGTCAAATTATGTATATATCAAGCTCTAAACTCGCAATGGTTTACTCAGTGCTCCTGGTAGCTTTTTGGAGATTTTTTTAAGTAATTCCTCCTTTTTCCTTCAGTTGTGAGGTTGCTTTGAGGATTTTAACATTCTTGAGTTACTTTAAAGCTCCAGATTTAGTTTGCATCCTCTCGGTAGATAAAGTGACTTTTAACACCGTACAGAAAAGGGCCTTTTTATCAATGGTAAGTGCAGCTATATCTTCAGATAGAGCCCTTTTTAGGACTCAGCATACTTCAGTTTTCCATAGCCATTTTAATTTTCCACAATTTATGTGCGATTACTACGGCAAGAGTTGATTGCCAGCCCAGCCTCATTCTCCCATCTTTACCCTTATACCTTGGCAGTCCCATTTGTAGCTCAGAAAATCATACTAGTTAAGGAGTGTGAACACTAATAATTAACAAATTACTTCTCCCTGCCTCACCCCCTACACAAATATATAGAACTCCTTTATTTTTCCTTCTTCTCAAGGGAGGTTACACTTCCTTCATTCCTTTTAGCTGCATCCAATGTATTTTTCATCCAAATTCCTATGGCTCATTTTCTGCATTACTCTGTGGCATTTACCACAGAGTTCTTGAGTTATAGCTATTCATACATGACTTTTTCTTCTACTAATCTATTAGCTTTCTGTTGTATTTTGCATCAGACTAAGCCAAGCACTTTGTATGTAGCAGGAGCTTAAGGTATATGTTCCCTGATAAACAGTTTTATCCTCTGAGTGAAAAAAAAATCACCTGTACTCTTTGCCATTTAGATAATTAACGCAGAAATATGTGAATAGGGGATTTTATGTTTTCTGTTATATATTATTGCTAGTACTATTTTATTAATTTATTTTGAGTAATTATACTATGAAGGATGACATATTTTAATGTATAGAACATTTTTAAACATGTCTTAAATATTATTCTACTGAAGGATTCATATTGCATATAAATAATGCAATAATTTTTCTAAATGTACTCTTATTTTTTAGATTATCAGTTATCTCAAATTAGAAAAATTAAACTTAAGCATTTATTAGATTTTAGTGCTATTTATGCATATAACAAAAGTCACTTAAAATTGTACATTGGTATGCAAAATGCAAATAAAATTTCATAATTAAAATTGAATATTTTTTATATTTAAATATTGTCCTTATTCATGGCATAGAGCAGTTCTTATTAAATGTGTCAGTTGCAGTAAAGCCACAAAGCAGTAAATACTCTGGATGCTTATGGAGATTGGGATAAGGTTCCTTAGTTATGACATTATCTTTTGTGTTCTCACTTTTGATGTCAAGAAAATGTGTAAGCAAATCTCTCTGTTAAATTACAGGTCTGATTTTTATATTTAATATTTTTTCAAGCCATCTCCACGTCTTTATCTAGAATTAGGAAGTCAGATCGAGTACTAAGAGGATAAAGGCACTTTACACTTAGTTTAGTCAGGTATATAAAGTTTTATTTCTTGAATTTGCATTTTAGAACACAGTGTAGAATCAAATTCCTTTTTACAGAGTTTCTAAATGACTATATCAATGCTTGCCTGAGTCCTTGCCTTCTCTGGTTTTACTAAGATTCCTGGTTTGTAAATTAAAAGGCCCATGGAAATGTCAATTTTGTAATGCTTTTAGAAAAGAATTGTTCCTTATACATTAACTAATAGGTGGAGGATTTGCCTAGATATCTGTGGGGGCTTTTAGACTTCAGCATTCCTTTTTAATATGATGCGTGGGATTAGACAATGACTGTATCTTTGAAATACTTTGTAAATTCTATACAGTGACTGGATAATTATCTAATTAGGTAATATGTGAATGGTTAATATTATTTTCCACAGACATTTGCTTTTCTAACCTGTAGAATTCTGAATAGTGAAATAAAGTTATAAGTAATTTATATTTTTACATTATGCTTTTATTTTACATGCAAATCAAAGTGGAACTTGACTAGTCTAGAAATTTCCAGTTGTTTTCTTCCCTAAAAAGCAAAGGCAAAACATTTTTTGGTAATAATTTGTTCTGAAATGCTACTTTTATAGAAGTGTGTACATTTTTTAATGATGGTCACTTTAGAAACAGGGGCATGGATAGAATTTATTCTTCTTGTATCCCCTGCCCATTACAATTAAGAATAACATTCCACAATTATTTTGAATTGCAATGAAGTATAACCACATCCTTAAACCAGATTGTTTTCTTTTCTGGAATTTTTTATTCCTATGTTTTCAAACTTAGATTTATTGTCTTTAATCTTCCTTTACAGTATTTTCTCTCAATATCAGATGTTTTATTAGCAATTATACAAATGTTCTGGCCTTGTTTGATATGTAAATTTAAGGTGTGGTGGTCTCTTGTTTTTCAATATTAATTTTCATAAGGATACCTTTTTACAATGAATGAAAATAATAGAATACATCTCATTATTTTAACATTGAATCCTCTTCAGAGTTCATTTTGGTCCCTCTCCTGTTACTCTCTTTTCCTGGCTGCCTTTATCTCTTTCAAAACAAATGTTCTAAATTTATCACCTCCTTATAACAATGAATAGATTGGAGTTGCGCATTACTGTATATACATATTCCTAAATGGGAATACTATGTATCTTTGCAATACCTATGGTTGCTATGATTTTATGTCATCAAATATTGAAAATAACTGATACTTGGTTGGTAATTTACTTTTATAAAATGTTCAATGTAATTTATGGTGCTTCAGATTTTTTTCTGATCCTTTCATTCATTTAACCAACACTCGATACTTACCATGTATAGATAACTGTTTTAAGTGTTATGGGAGATAAATATGTGTTTAGTGGTATTGGTTTACAAGGACCTTAAAAATTGTTAGAATGATTAAGACATTATCTTATACATTGAAACAAACACACTAAAAAAAAGTATGATTTCTTTTGCTGTGGTTCAATTATAAAGTGTAGATTTAAGGTGAGATTTGTTTTCCTGACCCGTTTATTTTCAAAGTAGTAGCATTTAGACATGTATTCTCTTCCGTAAGAAACCACAGGTTTAGATTTACAGACAATTGGAAGAACATGATTTAAATTCAGAAAGATTAACTGAATGGTTTTTTTTAAAATGTCACCTTTCTACTGTGTAAATGTTTGCTTCCACAAAATAGTAATGATTAAGACTCTGGAAACAGAAAATTGAAGTGCTTTAAAAACTATTTTTAAATAGAGATCAGAAATAAAGTAGAATTTAGTACCATCCCTTGAAGACACAAAAAATTGTGTGATGTAATTGAAAGAGCGAATGGACTCTGAGGTCAGACAGATTGGATTTGATTCTCTGCTTGTTCACTTTCTAAGTGTGTGACTGTGGCTGTGCAGTTTTCAGTGTATTTCTTCACATGGGAATAATCATCCCATTCCACAAGGCATTTCAGAGGATTAAATGAAATAATGTGATTAATGTATACAGTTCATAATAATCATCCCATTCCACAAGGCATTTGAGATGATTAAGTGAAATAATGTGATTAATATACACAGTTTGTAGCACATAGTAGAACCTTAGTAAATAAGATTTCTACTCCTTCAATACATTTTTGAAGCTTTTGAACATATTTAGGATGGATACATCCTAAGTACTCCAACATACCACACTTCCCTATTTAAATTGTCTTTATTATTCAGACTTAGTCCCAGGTGGCATTTGGTTAAAATGTAGGTTACCAGGTAATCTACAAAGCATATAACTGACTTAATTATTTTGGAGTTTGACCTTTACCCCTTCACCACCCACCATCACATTTAATACAT